ATCTTACACACCATAACACTGATATATATATATATATATAGTATTTGTTTCACTATATCTTACACACCATAACACTGATATATATATATATATATAGTATTTATTTCACTATATCTTATTTATAAAATTTATCTTTTAGAAATCACGTACAGCTGTTTCAAAATAAATCCCAACTAATCTCTAAGCTCATGTTGCAATGAAGTCTACCATTAAGACTACTGGTTTCAAATCACAAGTGAGAGTTATTGTACAGCAAAAAGTTACTGCTAAAGTAATTACTTCAAAAAATTAAATAAACCACTAAAGAAACCAATGAAATTAATTTATTACCTTTACAAAGCTGAAACAAAGCCATGATATAGATGGGTTATTTGAATTCATGTGATCAAAGTAAGACTTATGACCCAAAAGCTAAAAGTGTAAACATTTACAGTCTATATAAGGAAGAAAGGAAGTTTACAGCAAATATATATACTGTAGTCAAGGACATTTTGTAACATCTTTTTTTGGCAATGTAAAGGATCAATAAACACAAGCTTTTTGACATATGTCCAAATGATGATTTCCAATAATTTTTTTCCAACATTCACAAACATGTTGAAAACAAATATTCAACATTGTTTATTAACTCCTTAAAATCAGAGCAGATGCTACCATCATCGGCCAAAAACCCTGATTTACCCATCACACAGTGACAGTATTAGATAATATTTGTCTCTTTGGCTGAAAACTAATCCAAACTATATTATCCATAAAATTAAGAACATTTAAGTTTTATAAGGTATGCTGATAATTATTAGGAAATCAAGAAAATAATTCCAGCAGAATGCACAAAAAATTACAAGTTTAACCCTATCACTACTGATTTTCCTATGGTTAGGGGTCAAAGGGCATGTCATCAAATTTGTTTGGTATCAAACTGTAGCTTATAATTCAACTTTTAGTATTATACATAAGTTAATTTCTTAACTTAAAAGTAAATATTAAAAACAAATCTTAAATATCAATTTTTGTGTGTCATATGGTATGCTGAATGCAGATTTGTTGTTGAAAGCAGCAAATTAGGTGTTTGTGATGTCCAAATACAACATCTATCGTTTCTTATAAATTAAAAACAAATTACTGATACTGACAAGCTAGAATATAAAATAAGAACCTCCCATATTTTCTATTTACTGAGATATCGCTATATTTAGCAAATCAAACACAGTGGGCCTGCTCACCTCTTCCATTTTTGGAAATACTACCTTATGTACACCCACTTTGCTCTATTATATTTCTATAACTAATCAAAAGCTCAGAATTTCCCCCACGTGGTTTTCTCAGCCTTTTGAAGACGTGTATTCTTTCACAATTAGTCTTTTGTTTCCAATTATGGAAGAAAGGGGTAAGAGAAAATGGTGTTCGAAAAACATTTTTTTAGACCCAAATACAGATTAATTAGTAAGCCTGATTAATTACAGTGGAATTCTGTGATATTGGTAGAGTAATTTATAATTTTTATTTCAAAAATGCATATATAAAACCTAAAAAGGTTATTTTGTTTTACATCCTGTAAGGTATGGCAAGCAAGTACAAACTTCTTTACAATCTTAAGCAGTAGAGATCGTTGTTTTCTATATTTTTTTACTTACTTGGAAATAGTAATAACATATATATACATATGTCACGTATTATAACCAAAAGAGTTAAAAGCTAGATAACACAGAAAGTCTGGCCACACCAAAAACCACATATTTTAAAATAATGTATCTTACCAATGTAAATCCATCAAAAAAAGATGATTTCCTCCAGTTAAGTTTAATCCTACACCTCCAGCTTTTAGAGATAACAGCAATACCTTTACAGAAAAGAAAACCAGTAAATCACTTTCCATACTATTTTATATATGTTTAGTTTTGTTTTTCCAACATTAAAATAAAACAGCTTGTTAAAAATTTAAGGGTCAAGCTAAATAGTTCCATTATCTTCTATTTTAATTAAAGAATACAATGTAATAACATAAAAGGCAAAACTTGTATTTTCCCATTATGTATAAATTTGTAACTACATTAAAAACACAATTTCAAAGAAAAAATGAACAATTTACTGTTTTTTTTAAGTTATGTATAGCTTATATTTCTTCTAAATGATACTCTGTACAAGTAACTGCATTTCAATAAATACCTTTTTAATCTATATATTATACTGTAAGAAAATGAACTTAGGCTATATTAATACAATGTGTGCATACCTTAGCACCATTAGGATTGTTGTTGAAATCATCAACTGCCTTCATGCGATCTTGAGAGTTCACTTTACCTTGAATTAAATAATATGAGATACCAACAGCTTTAAGATGATGTGCTATCACTTCCAACATGGATGTCCACTGGGAAACTATCACACTATCAGCCAGAATACATAAAAAAAAAGAAAGAAGTGTTATATAAATTTTGCATTGTCACTTTACTTGATTATAAGATATACTTACAGAGGTAACATTGGTGTACCTTAATTTATGGGTAACAACGTGTGTAGATGCTAAACAATCATGTGTACAGTGTGCTGTAACAAAAACAAAAAATATTTATTTATACTATATTCACTACATGTGGTTCTTCTTAATTGTGTAGGTTTTAATGGCCCAGTTGTAGTTAAATTCCAGTTGACTAGGCCCCTGGAATATAATTGTCATCAGATTACCCATGTGGTCATTTGTAAGGCAAGACCACTTTTCAGAGTGGAGCAGAAAATGACATTCATGAGGAACATTTGCAAGAGACACAACTATAGCAAATTCTAAAATACTGGGTAGACATCAGCATAGTCCATAGCAGGATTCTCAAGGAGTTGAAGCAACCATGACCCTAAGAGTGAACTTCATTTTCTAAAAATCATGGTATAATGTTCTCTTCCTATAAGTGTTATTGTTTTAAAATAGGTACAATAAATCGAAAATTTCAATTTCACAATGTGGGATTTATCTCCTCTGAGGATGTGCTAGCATTCAAAAGTTTATCAAGAGATGACAAGACAGACAAATCATCTGCAGGGAAACAATCATGAAAATTATCAATCTAGCCGAGTCAAGAATAAAAACAAGCATATGCAACGTGTAAGGTGTGTTAATTTTTGGTTAAAGATTAAAAATTCTTTAGCAATATATGCACAGTTTTGCATTAGTGCAACCTCTGTTAATAATTAACAGTTTATGAATTAACTTGATGCTTGTGTTAACAAATAAATAATGCAAGGTTAGCTAGAAAATAACCAATAAAGCATGTTATAATTAGATGGGTTTACTGAAGGTTTGCAAAATTGTTTTAACAAAACTGTTCTAATCTCAGAGATGAAAGTGTCCCTATCCTGAAAATAATCGAAGCCAAGTAAGGGGGGTCCGGCACCCAAAATCCTGCATTTTGATGCATTTT